AAAAATGTAACAAAATAAAGGAACGAATTTATACGTGACGCCGTTTGCCGGCGGTGGTCGGGAACTGAGCATTGATATTTTTCTGCGGGACGGTTTCCGAGTTTAACGACCGGCCCCTGTCGCTGTGTTTCTATGAGCGGCGATCGTGAGAATAGCGAGTTTTCTGCGTAAATTGAGATCTGACTTACAATCGAATATTATTTTCCTTGCGACAATTGGTAGATTGTATTGTACCGCGGTTTGTTTGGAAAATTTTCATTTTCATTTTGCATCGGTGTCTAGAATGAGAATAGGCAACTTTTTGTCGTAAGATAATTAGCCCCTTGTGGTACAATGACGAGTGACGACTCGTGATGTAGATTTCTGGACCAATTTAACAACAATTTTGCTATTATCCATGTATTATTTTCAAATGAAATTTTCACTTCAAGTAGAATGGGAACTTTTGGCGCATTTCTTCCAAAATGACGATAGTAAAATGTCACACGAGCTTAATAGTGAATGTTAATAGTAAGCCAAGGTGTTAATGGTAGGGCGACGCCGATGTAAGTGGCGAAAGAAGCAGTTACATACAAGCGGATCTCCCGCGGAACCGACAGGCAGGAAGTGCACCTCTGGTTCACAGTTTCCATTGATAACGTGTAACGAATAGTAAATTAGTGATCGAAAATATCAAGATTCAAGAAATAACTCGAACAGAAATTCGAGTGAGTATAAATCAAACTTTCACTTTTAATACTAATTCACTATTTCCGCAAACCGTCACATTTTGAGGTTAGGAAATGTCGGCGCAATGGAAAACGTATTAACATTAAAGGAACATATTCTTAACCCCTTGCCGTACAATGACGAGTAAGACTCGTGATGAAGATTTCCAGACCAATTTAACAACAATCAATCTTCATTTACCCACGAATCAAAGCAAACTATTTTGCTATCATCAATGTATTATCTTCAAATGAAATTTCCACTTCAAGTAAAATGGAAAATTGTATTGCATTTGTTCTAAATTGTCGATAGTAAAATATTACACGCGCTTAGTAGCGAAACTAAATAATACATTAAGAGATTAAAAACGGTACAAAATTAGTTGAAACTCACCTAAGACTTCTGTCGAACTTTCCGGAGTATTTTGCCGCCAACACGTAGAAAAAACTAATCCCTCGCTAGGTTACCAAAATACTCAAAACCCTATACAAAAAGGGGCGACCTCAGAAAACTAATCACTGGACATAGTTAATTTCTACTTCAAACAGAATGGAAATTTTTGGTGCATTTCTTCCAAATTATCGATAGTAAAATGTTATACGACAGTAGCAAAACTAAATAGTGCGCCAACGAATTAACGGTAAAGCGACGCCGATGTAGGTGGCGAAAGAAGGAGTTACATACAAGCGGATTTCCCGCGGAACCGACATAGGCAAGAAGTGTACCTTTGGTTCACAGTTTCACAGTTTTCATTGATAACGTGTAACGAATAGTAAATCAGTGATCGAAAATATCAAGATTCAAGGAATGACACCAACAGGGAATCGAGTGAGTGCAAATCAAACTCTCACTTCTAATACTAATTCACTATTTCCGCAAAGCGTCACATTTTGAGGTTAGGAAGTGTCGACGCAATGGAAAACGTATTAACGTCAAAGAAAAATATTCTTAAAACGATAAAAACATTAGTTGAAACTCACCCAAGACTTTTGTCAAACTTTCCCGAGTATCTTGTCGCAATCCACATAGAACAGCGGTTTCCAACCTTTATGCCACTACACCTCCCTAAAGAAGATTCTTTTCTCCGCGCCTCCCTATTTTTTAATCCCTTGCGGACGAAAATTGTTAAAAGTATACAAAACATTTTGCAGATTCTGCTAAATTAAACACTGAATGCTTAAATTATAGAGAATAAGGAAACTATACACTGATTTCTTGCTGTTCGAATAGTTGAATCATTTGTTCACAACTGGGTATTCCCAACATGGAAGTTTGATTTCAGCAAAATGCCGCCATTAGTCTGCAAAAGGTTAATAGATATAATAATGTAGACACGTTTCAAATAATAATAACTTTATTACAAAATAAACATTACGATATGAAGTTTATTTATCTGTAGATATTGATTGTTCATACTATAAACTATATTTTATTAAAACTTTTGCCGCCTCCCCTGGTAATAGTCCGCGCCTCCCGGGTTAGAAACCGCAGACGTAGAAAGAACTAGTCCCCCGCTAGGTTACCAAAATACTCAAAACCCTATACAAAAGGGGCATCCTCAGAAATCTGATCGCTGGACGTAGCTAACCCATCCTGTCCGTCGCAAATTCGTCCCGTCAGGGGCAAAGACAAGGAGGATCCGCATCGTACGGGAAGCCCCCAATCAAACTCCCATGATTCCGAATTAGCAGATGCTTTCGCCAGATCGAATGGGCGCCCCGTGGCGACCCTCGAACAGAAACCCCGTGGAATGCGTGGCCGACCTTAAGATATTCACGACAACTATATTAGCCGCCTCAGATAGGATCGGCATCATACTGCGCCAGCGACACGCTTAACCCTGAGGAAGGTCCACGGCATCTTCTCCGTCCGTCTGCCTCTTCCTCCTCCGACCCTCACCTCTTTCACTCCTCTTTGGTCTACCCTTTCGGGCGAATGGACCGGCACCGTCCACCCGGGGGAACGCAACCGTTTGATTTATGCGAATGATCGTCATCCTTAACACTTTCGCTCACAAAATTCCGTCCGGAGATAATCGGTGCCGTTTTAGTGGAAGAACGGGGTGAAGTTAGGTTTGACTTATTGGCCGGCTCGGGCCTACATCATTCCTACGGCGCGTTATGTTTCGGCCATTAGGGGGTTTAATGTGTCCGAGAGCTTGTTTCGTTCAGGGACCCGCGTTTCTCTTAGTTCGAGGGAAACACGTGTACCGCGGGAAATGATTCTAAGCTGAGGTGCACCGTATCCTTGGCCTCACGGAATTTTTGCTATTCAAGGATGTTCGTACTATGGCATGTTTTTGTTAACGTTTTTTGGAGGTTTTGGTGTCTTTGAGGCATGTGGAATTAGTTTTGGAAAAGAATGGTGTGGATGTAGTATAGAAATTTATATTAGGTACTGATGTAGTTGAAGTATATATAGTAGCTATGAATATTGTATAAATATCTACTTATTCATTTCAAAACTATGAATCTTGCTATATAATATTTATCTATAATATTATAATCAAATCAATATCAAACATTCCGATTAGAATAAATAGAACAATTTATTTCAACTGCTAATCTTCATACCAATTTCCAAAGATTTCTAGGAAACCTCAATACAAACGGTCCAAAATACTTCGCAAACCTATTTCGGCAATCTCCGCGAACGCTATTCCAAGGTTTATAGCGTCAGATAAATACTGATTAATATCTCGAACGGATTCCTCCGGATTCCAATTAGCTGCACCCGTTAACATCCCCAGTGGATGCTCGGCATCGCGTTAAACTGTAAGGAAATTCCAGTCGGATAAATGTCATCAGGGAGACGTCGTGTCGCCTGAAAAAGGGGTTGAAAAAGCGAGGTTGATTGTTCGTCGAACAGGTGCGGCACCCGATCAACGCTCGTATCGTCGGACACCCAGCGCACGCAGCTAATTAACGTTCCGCCCGTCGGAACGGGCGTCGATAAATTCCGACATGTATGCGTCCGCGAACGTCCAGCGGAACGATGAAAACGCAGCCGGACACCGCGCCGCGCGACGTCGAATTCGCCGAGCCGTGGTCGGTAATTGAATAAAAGGGGCCCCTCGACGTCCCACCGCGTCGAGGTGTGATCGGGCCCACTCGCTGCGTGATGCGAGTCCTCGATCGAGACCGGTGCCCGATTCTCTTGCCCGATAACCGCCCGAGATCGTCCGTGTTTCTTCTCCTTTTCTCGCTCTTTCTAATCGTGGATCGCGTTAATAATAGAACCGCCGGGGAAATCGTAGATCGGCTATTAAGATAAAACGATGGAAAAGGAAGATGGCCACGGCTGCCGGTGAAATTGGAGCGAAATTGACGGTTCGTGCCACTTCCTTATCGGCGAGGTGTGCTTCGCGGATAGATCGCTTGTGCAATGGGCGCAAGTGTGTAGCAATGTGGCTGCACCGATTTCTTGGAACTTAGACTCCTTGGATGGTATTTGGAAAATGAATTGAACATTGGAAGGAGGACTTTATTTGTAGTAAGTGAAGTAATTAGTTTTCCTGGTTTTCAATATTTTACTATATTGCACTGTGTTGGAAGACATTCTGAACTCTAAGGGATTTTGGAGGAAGAATATTAGTTTCGTTGGATTTGTATAATTTTTCTGTAAATTGACCATCTGTTCTTGTTACTCATTTGTAAACATGAGAATTAGAGGAATGGAAGAAAAATTCTTGAGATTATGGAAATTGACTCTGAAATCTAAATCATATGTGTATCTATAAGTTTAGAATTTGTTGGGGGTAGTTTCACGGTTCTTTCGCATCTATTCGAAAATCTATCGGCATTCTAAACAGCTTTCAATAGATTCTAAACACGAGAGATTAACGAACTCGCGGAAATGCCGTGAAATCGACGCGATTTCACGGACGACAGAGGATAATGGGCGACTTTAGACGCGCGCCAGATAATTCGACGGGAAGAAATTGTCCGCGGGCGGGTAGAGCGAGAGGTTGCCGCGTCGTTCGACGAATTAGCATGTAAATCCGCGGTATTAAGACGTCGCTGGTAGCGCGGGATGATGAAACGCTCCGTCCCGGCATTGTTAATCACGGAATTAGCATATGAAATCTGTATTATACACGGAGCCAGCCGAGTGGGATGCACAAGAGTTTACCCTCTGCGCGGCGGCGCAGCCAGTGCTGGACATTTGGCATCCTTAGGCCCCGGGTCTCTTCAAGTAATAGCTTCAAAGTTTCGTTTTACAAATTTTGAAAACTAAACACTTGAAAATTGTTAAATTTAAATATCTTCAGGTCCCAAATTTTTCAAATGATATCTCCGAAGTTTTAGCATAACAATATTATAATAGTATTCAATATTACAATATTGCATATGTGTGTAGATATATAATATAAATTCCATACCTTTAATTGTCCAAATATTGCAATTGAAAATTTAAATAAATTTATATTCAGTTAACACTTTCAACTTTGAAGTAACTGTATTCCCAATGAAAAATCTGTACAATTTTTGACAGTTGTATAACTTACGCTTTTTTATCTTGCAAATGTAGATTTTGAAATCTGAAACTAGAAAATATCCAGTTGAACGATTGTAAATTAAGTTTAAGCTAAAAATTTGAATAGTTAAAGGTTCTAACGTTCGAGTCACAGAATATGACGAACGAAAGGAATGTAGTCGATGTAACTGAAACACATTATTTAAATTAATCGGCGAACTTTTATCGCAGATAATTGCGAAAGGAACAGGGTGAAGCAGGAATGCATCCACGTGGCTGCAGTCCGGCGCAGATACGCTGTCACGAGTGCACAGGGTGCGCGTAATAAATAAGTGGTATCTCTATCAGATCCCACGCAGACCCCTGTGGCTACCAAAGGCATTATAATACCCGTAAGCTGATTAGTCCCTCGAATTTGTCCACGTTCTTATAATTGGCTCAATGAGCAGGTTGTCCGATTAACAGTCCCCGTCGAGATTTCTTTCACGCGTCCCCTAATTCGAAATTCCCGCTCTTTTTCTTCACACGAATGTTGTCAACTTCCCGGTAATCAGACATCGGATTTAAACTGACTGCAAATCCTCCACTTAGCAGTTTTATTAATCAAATATTTTTAAATTCAGATAACATCATACGTATATACCGATTCACCATTTTATGAGTGAGTCAAAAAATAGTAAAAATTGACACACCTAATGACGAAATTAACGGAACGTTAATATTATCAAACATTAATAACAATAACTAGCGTTATGTAAATATTATCATAATTTAATTTAATCATCTTTTCACACTTTAATACACACTTCCCAAGAATTCTATTCATTTTCAAAAATCCTTCCGTAAAATTGCAAACCCCTAAAAAATTATATAAAAAAAAAATGTTACTAAACGTCGACGAAACATTCGGAACGAAGTCGAAAGAACGAGCCATTAGAGTCGCGGTCGGTTCCCGCGGCACCGCGGACCCGGGTATTCATCATGGTGGCCGGTCCCGCGAAATTAAAACCAGCCGAAAAATTAGTTTGGTGTGCGTGCCCCTTAAGCCCGTATTTATTCAGCGACCGGCCCCTCGAAAGCCCCGGGAGGGAACAAAACGCGCAACAAATAGGAGTTAATCGGTTCGCTACATCGATACTAAACGCGCGGTTCATTGTGTGGAGGCAAACGCCTGCTCGATATAATTGGCCTCTAATTAGAGTCCGGCAAAAAGTAAACTCATCCCTCTGCCCTTACCCATCCCTCCCGCTCGACCTTTCCCCTTCTCCCTCTGTTCCTCTCACCGCAGTGTAATTCTTCCTCGTTCGTTCGCGTCTCCTCCTTCACCCACTTTCTCTACGATGTTTCCTTCA